TTTCATGTTAGCATTTGCGTCCAAGTTAAAGTTATGATTGGAAATAGGGTTTCCATAAAAGTTGAACCTAGAAAAGAATTGAGGCCACCATTTGTGTTCTCTATCTATTCTACTTGGATCTACAGCTGGCCCAACTGATTCATCGATGTTGGATCCACAAAACGAGGATCACGTGATTGGATATAACTTTTTAATGTTGGCTTTATATTTTATCCCGGACATATCCCACTGCAAGTCTCATGCATCCACGTCGTCAATAGATCGATCCACTGGAATCTCATGCTTAGTTAAAGATGAAAATAAGATACGATAATTGAAGAGAGATGCCAAATTGAATGCTTGCCCACTTCTGAAAACCCACCCTATTTATTAGCAGAGCTCATCTGAGTGGAACGGACGGCCTCTGAAACACTCATCAAGCAATGTCATCGATCAATAATATGTTCGATAGTTCGCATGACAGTCTTGAGAGTTATGGAAGGATAAAGCACAATGCATGATGATGTTAAAGATAGACAAGTCTTTTAACTCCTGACTGAATTACGGATCCAAATAAAAATTCTAAAACTAAAGCTTACAGTTGAAAATTTCTCATGTTCTGCATTGTCAGGAACCCCATATATCATTAGGTTTGCCCACAGTAAATTCAAAAACCAAATATAAATATACTGTGGCCTCTATAATCGAGTCCAACCATTGGGATCATAGGACTGATCGATGCTTGGTTTGCCTTTTATATGATTGATCACTAATCTAATTATTTAATTATCATGTAAAATACTTCTACACAATCTTTTTGTGAACATGCGTATGTCATTAACAAAAGCAACACAAGTCTTCCGACCACGAAAACAACTCTGCCTAAATCACTCATCGAAGTCATACTGACAATAAGTATTTGTCTTTTAGTTTTTCAACGCAATCTCCTTTGTGAATTTCACATGCATTATTTCATAGACCATCGTTCCTTTCGATTACCTCATCTGGTTAAATAAATTATACATTATTTTACTCCTATAAATATACTTGTTAGATTATGACTCTTTATTAATACATTCCATATCACACCAACTGTGACTCTAAATTTATTACACATTTCAGCCTCCTATGAACATATACTTCTTATGTTAAAGAGAAAGTTTCAATGTTCTATGGCGTCGGGTTTTAATTGTCTTCGAATGACTACAGACAATTCATCATGTTGGCTTTGACACCACACTTGTTGGCTTTTCTACAAAACTTTAAGAAGAAAGGAAAGATAATAGTAGAAGAAACCAAGAGTATCTCTTGGTTTGATCCAAGAGCACCTATTTATATTGATCAAAAGATCGAGTACAAGGTTTTTAAAACAATGAAAAAAAAAATCTACCATATCCTAATAAATCTTTTCATCTTAATCTATTTATTTAAATCTATATTTTTATCTTTTATTTTTATCTAATCCTAACTATTTGAATTAATTTTATCACACTCCCTTAATTCAAATAGTTGTAACTTGAAGTTGTCTTCATCTAACTTGTAACATGAGTTTTGGGCCTTTTTATTTCATACTTTGTATGAAATAAAAATATTGGTTCATTCAACGCTTCGTTCGAACTTTCGACGCATCGTCCTCTCCCTTAGCGTATTGCCCGATCCATCAGCATGTTGACCTCCCGCAATATCCAATCTTCTTGGCATAATATCTAATCCATTTGGCCCAATGCCCGAACTCATGGCACGAAGTCCTTTCGGTACGTCGACTAGTCCTCTGGCATGACGTCCAATCTTCTGACATGATACTCTCCGGCCCAACGTTTGATTCTCCTATTTCAATCGATTTACTTTTTCATGATCGAAGTTAGTCCTGCGTCACTCAAACGCTTATTAGATCATAATTTCATCGATTGATTTCATTATCAAACTCTAAGATTCAACAATCTTCCCATTTTAGATGTTGATAACTAATTGATGATGAAGTTTTAATAAAACAACCCTTATGTATATGACATATTGAAATAAACTTGAATTCAGAAAATGATAACCTTATAATCATAATATCTTTGAATTCAAGTCAAAACAATTACGATGATGGTAGCTTTTACATCATTGCATGCATCATAAAATCATGAGA